ACACACACACAGCCTCTTCCCAATATGCGTTTTGCAATTTGCATATATGCAAAAACGCATAAAAAGCGGGATCAAAGACGGTTTTCTCAATGGACGTTTTCAAAATGAATGCGCATTTAAGCCTGATTGTTCATTAAATTGAACTTTTTGTTGACTTTTTTTCGCTGCAGGACCATGTGACGACAATCCATGCTTGAACAACGGGACGTGCAGGACAACAAGCAGCTATTCAACGTTTTTTTGCGACTGCCCGCCCAAATTCGGGGGAAAACTTTGCGACATTGGTATATTTTGTGTTGTCGTAGGGAGAGTGTGTGTGAAAGCACGTTAACTTTCAAGCAACAAGAACTCACGAAATCTGGAATCTTGATTTTTCGAGCAACGCTCAACTTTGATGTTTTTCAGTTGATAATTTTGCAAAAGAATTCAGTTTCTCACGGATAAAATTCACCTCGTCTGCTCATTTAACTTTCTGTTATATTCCGAAGATATGGCTGGCTCTAACTCAGAGCAACTAGTAGCGAACCTTATTGGTCACCACTGTTGCAAACATTTTGCTGAACCCATCCGGCTCGGCTATAGATTTGCATCGGTTTGAAAAGTATAAGACAGCCTAAAAATTCAGCTTGCCTCGAAAACTGTAAAGATGATTGTTTCATGTCTGCCCTTTATAGCAATTGGGGAGAGGAAGCAACCAACTTATGGCAAAAATGTACAACTGCTATCGAGTGGTAAAGTCGAATGGATCGAGCAGCTAAAGAAAGCAAAAGCGAAAGAACTGGAGCTGAAGAAGATGAGGGATATGCAGAAAGCGATGAATGACGAGCCTGAAAAAGGTAAGCATTTTATTTGAATCTTACGATCTACGTAATGCGGCAACCCGAGTCTACTGCGCTGCAAGTGAGCATCATGACCGGCCAGATTATATGTTTGCACTGCCATAATGGCATGCCTACTATGCTTATGAATTCGATCGTTTCCAGTCTACTCCACAGAGGGCTCTGGATTCAGAACCCTGCTCGCACTGTAAGCGATTACTGTTCGGGTAAGAAAGCAGCAGCACGTGTCACAAACAAGCACCTGCGTCTTTTCGTCCAGGGAATGTCTCAAGAACAGACTGCTGAGTTAAGAATCATCAGAAGTGTATTTGCCAAGTTTTCAACACATTATAGAATTTGATGAACAGACGGGCCAAGAGAAAGGGCGAAAGAAGGAATTGCGCGAAAGTGGTAAGGAGGAGGAGGCGAACGAATCAGCGATCGTCGAAGAGGAGTTCATTGATTATACGATGGCTAACGAAACAAGCAATACCGGCGAATCGGCAGGCCCGGCCGTTGTACACCTGAATGATAGCCTTCCAAGGAGCACTGGTCTTACTGCTCCATCCTTGTCCACTCTTTTGTTATGCATATTTTCTCTTGTTTATGTCGACCCTTACACCAGGAGCATTCATTTTTTCCGGCCAAGTACCGTCACATATAAGCATCCGTCCATTTTTGTAAACTGATGATGCCCTGGTCACATTCTTGTAAACCTCTAGTTCAAAACGCTCTGAGTGTGCAAGATGCTTGGATATGTACATCACAAAAATACAAGTTAATAAGCCCAGACAGAAACTGGAGCTTCGACAAAAACTCATCTTTCTTGGAAGCGCCAGACGAGGCATCGAATTCCGCTGCAAAAACGGAAGTGTCATTTTCATCAAGGAAAATATTTTTAGAGCTAGAACAAATTAACTGATGTATTCTAGCACTGCCGTGAAGAGAGCACAGGAATGCGCCCTCAACCCCTTTCCCATTCACCAAAAATGTAGTGATGAAATTCTGGATGGAAGGAAAGTTGACTCGAACGGAACCAGACTAATAATAACAAAAGGTGCAAAAATGCGCACCGGGCTCAGAAATTGTATTATAATATGCTGAATACAGATACGAACTAAGCAGGAACTAGGACAGGCACTGTTACACTGATAAAGTACCATCCTTGTCAAAAATTACCATGAATGGATTCTAATTCTACGATGTGTTTATGTACGCGCATATCGTTCGCATTTATCCAATGTTTGCCCTTATTGGTTCTGTTTATAATTAAAATGCGTGTGTCTCCAGGGCCCTTGGATGGTTGTTGTCTCCCGTAATTTTTTTCCGATCCCTTCATCTTTGCTTATTATCCTCATTCGAAATCTTTAATTGCATGCGGGAAACCACTGACATCGCATTACTGAAACCGAGTGTTGCTTAATTCGGCACGAATCGAATAATTGTGCGTTGTCAACTGCTACACCATTTAAAAACTTCCTACATTTTCTTTAACAATCAATAAACGAGAGCTCCG